CACGCCGCTCGAGGAAGCCCTGTCCCGCTGGCCAGCTGCATGCGCCGAGGTCCCGTCCCCTCCGAGCAAGCATTTCGGCCATCCGCCTGCGCGCGCCGCGGGCGGCTGGCCGAGATCCCGCCCGTGCCGCCCCTGAGCAAGGACGGGCACACGACCCCAGGGCGGGTGATTGTGGGCGAAGCGCAGGGTCCGACACGACGACACGGAGGGCGCGCCCCCGAAAGAAGAGCATCTGGCTGCGCGACTCCCCAAACCCGACGACCACGCCCAAGCGCTTACGGGGTGTTCCCGCGAGGTTCAAGACAGCCAGGACTCTTTTCCCAGCGGAAGGTCGGAACTCACGGTCTGTGTGCGCAGCGACACAAGGCGAATCCCCCGGCTTGCGTGCACATCGTGCTCCCCCAAACGGTCTGGTGATCACGATCACGGCGAACTGCGCGCCCCTTGAACACAGGCCCGCGCGAAACGGTATACAGAAAACGCACCCTGGTGTTAAGGAGATGTGTGGGGATGCGCGCAGTTTTGGGCCTACGACGGTCTCGCGTCGGATTCGCAATCTCTCTACCCACCGATGTACTTCTCTCCGCCATGTGTTAGAACGCCAAGCGTGCACCATCCCCCGCTCCCGAAGCTTCATGGGCGGCCCGAGGCACCCGCATGGGGCTCTCTTCAAGGGTCCACACGGCTTCCAGGGTGGCACATCTCCCAAGAAGACCTCAAGCGGCGCCAACGTGACCCCAAGGGATCTCCAAGCGACCAAACAGGAGGCCAAGAGGGCCTCCGGGAGGGCCGGCACGTGTATGCACACACATCTATATATATATATATATATATATATATTGCTCTGCGCATGTGTATATATAGATATAGATATACATATACGCTTAGAGGGTCAAAACGCCCCCCCCCCCCCCCCCCGCAAAACGACGAGTTCTGGAACATGATGATGACATGTTTTCCTCCGACGATACTCTTCAACATCAGTACTGTGTGTCTCCTGATCTCCATCATCTTCCATCTCCTCCTCCTCCTCCTCCTCCTCCTCTAAATTGTCCGCCACATCATCGTCATACTCCTCCCCCTCCTCCTCCTCCTCCTCCTCCTCCTCCTCCTCCTCCTCCTCCTCTTCATCTTTATCCTACGTCTCCTGCTGCTCCTCCTGTCACTCCTTCTCCTCATTCTCATTCCGTCCGTTCTCCTCCTCCTCCTCCTCCTGGACTAGACCTGCTCCAACTCGTCTGCCCGCCTTCCTCTGCCTCATATCATGGTGGAGGGCGAGTCATATAGTGAGAAGGAAGACGAGGAAGAGGCGCGCGATGATCAGGAATCTGATTGAGAGCAAGAGGACCTCCTCCTCGTCCTCCTCCTCCTCCTACCCCTTTCTTCCCTGACAGCATTTCGCTTGAGGATTTTGAGTAATGTTCAAAGATCCCTCTCGCCAACATCCTCACAGGAAGGGCTGGAGAGAGGCGACTCACCAGTCCGGCGGCGGTCCGGAATCGACTCACTTTGGTATCATGGCTCGATTTCAGCCCTCGCAGACCCAGAAATGAGACTCACTATTGTGCTATGGCCCGATTTGGCACAGAAATTAAACTCACGATGGTGTTATGGCTTGATTTCAGCCCTCGCAGATCCAGAACAGAGACTCACTATGGTGTTATGGCTGGATTGGTCCAGAAATAAAGCTTACTATGGTGTTATGGCTCCATTCCAACCCTCGCAGATCCAGAATTGACTCACAATAATGTCATGGCTCGGTTTGGTCCAGGAATGAGGCTCACTATGGTGTTATAGCTCGATTTCAGCCCTCGCAGATCCAGACATGAGAGTCAATCATGCTATGGCTCGATTTGATCCAAAAATGAAGCTCAGTATGGTGCTCTGGCTCGATTTTACTTCAAATATTCATGTCGCTAAAATCTCCATAGGAGGAGCCGAGTGTTCTGGCACGACCTCAACCCTCGCAGATCAAGAAATGAAACCCACTATGGTGTTCTAGCTCGACTTCGGCCGTCGCAAGTTCAGACATTTTGGTAGGGGCATCGGATTCTCACAATTCCTGCTGTTACGTCTGACTTCATTCCAATCTTCGCATGTCCACAAAAAAAGGCTCACTAATTATTATGTTCTGGTTCGGCTTCAGCCGCCGCAGGTGAAGAAACTGTTGCAGGGGCATAGTGTTCTTATCATTCCAGCTGTCTTAGGTTCAGGAAGTGTGGCAGGAACATCTGCTTCTCACCATTCCGGTCCAGAACATGTGGCAGGGTCATGGGGCTCTTATTAACGTTCCAACTGTCTTAGGTCCAGAAAGTGTGGCAGGGGCATGAGGTTCTCACCATGCCAGCTGTCCTAGGTCCAGAAAGTGTGGCAGGGGCATGGGGTTCTTATCCTGTCAGCTGTCCCAGGCCCAGGAAGGGTGGCAGGGGCATAGGATTCTTATCCTGTCAGCTGTCCCAGATCCAGAAAGTGTGGCCATCGGATTCTCACCATTCCAGCTTTCCTCCGTGCAGAAAGTGTGGCAGGGGCATCGGATTCTCACCATTCCAGCTGTCCTAGGTCCATCACGCGATCCGTCTCAGGATCGATATCATGGCAGAGCGGCGCTGGGGAGGAGGGGGGAGGAGGGGGGAGGAGGCGAGGAGGACGGGGAGGAGGTGGAAGGGGAGAAGGAGGCAGATGAGGCGGAGGAGGAGTAAAGGAGGGGGAGAACGAACGACTCCCAGGAACCAAGGCTTTGGGGCCCCCTGGACGTTCTCGGAGAAAATTTACCGGCTATTCCAGGCCTCCAAGGGCGCGTTGCCGGGCATTGCCAGCAGGCCGAGAAAGCCCCGAGACAGCACAAGAGCGCTTCAAGAGCGGCCTAGGTGGCCTCCGAGACACTCCAAGAGGTCCTCAAGAGGACCTCCAAGAGGCATAAGTCGCTACATTCCAACACGGAAGCGTGAATTCTAGGATATTCGTAACTTTTACCTCGCAGCGTCCACGATGGTCCAAGAGCCTCCCGAAATTGCCCAAAGACGGCTCAAGAGGCCTTCAAGAGAGCTCCAAGACAACCCAAGAGGGTCCCAAGACAGCCCAAGGAGCCTCAAGACGACCCAAACAAGGCCTAAGAGGCCCCCAAAAGGCTTTCAAGGGAGGCCGAAGAGGCCCTCAAGACAGCCCAGGACGGCCCAGACGGCCACAGGATAGCCCAATGATGGATCCAGAGGCCCCCAAGGGCCCGAGAGCGGCCCGAAAGAACCCCAAAAGAAACCCCAAGAAGGCCTGGTCGCGAAAGACCCAAGAGTGCACAGGCCCGGTCGCGACAGGCTCGAGGAAGCTCACAGAGGCCTTCAACACGCGCCCAAGAGGCCTCCAGAAGCCCCAAAGCGCCTCAGAGGCAGTCGTGCAAGCGGAAAACGATTACTTCCCGCGTCGTTGCTGCCTCTACGCATATCGGAATAATCGTCCCACCGAGATTCCGCGCTTCCCAGCGAGGATTTTCTTGGCATTCATCCGCGTTGCTTCCGATTGCATTGCGTTGCGCGATAAGACAAGCTAGGCCACGAGCGAGACTGTGATAGCCACACGATGGTCCCCGAACGTTATTATTCTGCACGGCCGTGCGTCTTCCAGGAGGCGTTTTCCTACGAATGCTTCAAACTGAGCTGGACTCCAAGTTCGCAACAAACTTACTGGAAATCCGTCGCGAACCCGCGATTCGGTGCATCTCCCAAGAATGCCGTACTCAAGCGCGTCCCGTTGCGACCCGCTGCCACTTCTTGGCTTCAGAACGATGCTCGGCTGAACGTTGCCGCTCGCTGAATACGTGACAGTGGCATCCTTGCATTGGCATTGCTTCGTATTCAGCGGCATTGCATGACATTGCTTTGTCTTGTTTCTCACTCATTCGTATGACTTCCCATTGCTTCTCGTGGTCCAATGGGCGGGGCGCAAGCGGCCAACAGGAGCAACCTGCAACCGCTGTGTTTGGTTACATCGATATCCCCCGCATTCCGCTTGGATGCCGAACTTGAAGCACCAAGACGTATGGCGCGAAGCGCCACGCAGTCTAGTGTGTATATATATGTATATAAATTAATATAGATGTGCAAATGTGCATGAACAAAAATATCAGAGGCTTGGGGGTGACAGCGGTACGACCCCAACTGGAAAATCAATTTCTGCTTCTGCTCGTGCGCCCGTTTGGGCGGGGCGAAGCTAGTGTCTAGAGACAAGCTGCGGTTGATGCATCGCCTCGTATCTAAGACCACTCCCGAGCCTCTTTTCGTGCAACACTCCCCTTAAGCATCCACCATCGAGAGCCAACCACCCTCGCTAGAAGGTCGTCAATGCGAAACCCTGGAACCGGTGAGAGTTCGAATCTCGAGCGGACAAGGATGCAAGTCTTCTGGACCCTCAGCTAGCCGACGCATCCGCTCTCTCTCTCTTTCTGTCCCTCTCTCTCCGTCTCTCTCTCTCTCTCTCTTTTTCTCGCTTTCTGGGCCCACTGGCGATTCTGGCTCGCGACGCGGGTTCGTGGCATACGCTGGCCGGGCAGATCTGCCTCGACCAGACCCAAGCTTCAAGATTACACCCTTGCACGCCCTCCTTTGCCCTGCCCGAGCACTCTGCACCCGCCTGCCAAACGTAGCACTCACTTCCCGAAAAAAAAATCGCATCGAAATCTGGGCCCTGATGGAAGGAATGTGTGAAGCCTTACGACGAAACTGTTGGATCATCGCCAGGTGAGGGTCTCGTGTCAAATTGATTGCCGATTGTGGGGGGAATCCTGCGTCATCCTTGCCACTTTCGTGAGGAAAGATATGTGCTCAAAATCCCCCCCCCCGTTCCCAAAACACGTTGTGTTCGAACGGCCCGAGGCAGTGCCATTGTCAGAACATTAGGCCTCCTCCGCAAGAAGATTGGCTTGTCACGGCACCGCCGGGGCTGGCACACTACCTTGAGCTGCTGAGCACATGTGAAAAGTTCAACATGCATGCGAGGCATCGCGCCGCCTACGCCTTGAGCTTGTCGAGGCCACTGAGCACCTTGGCACTTGTGATAACGTCGCCTTCTCGAACTTGCCTCAAGAACTCGGCACCTTTGACGGTGTAGCCGAAGGTACTGTAACGGCCGTCCATAAAATTCTTTCCAGCCGGGGTCATGTCGGACTCAAAAACGAACAAAAATACTTGCGACGACGCGGAATCGTTGTCAAACTCTGCACGGGCCATTGCGAGGACACCATCAGCCGAGAAAGGCATCCTCATTGGTATTCCAACCTTCCCTGCTTCGTCCACGGTTTCGCTGTAGATCGCTTCCTTCGAGCCCCTCAGTGCAAGCTCAAGTGGGATTCGCCGCACCTTTGTCGCGCCCTCAGGCTTGAAACCATTTCCATTTTCCTTTCCGCTGTCCCCAAACTGGGTGATGAAGCCATCGGCACGCGTGAAAGTCTTCCCGTCGTAGAAGCCGCGGTTGACGAGGTCGACGAAATTCCCGCTGGTCAACGGTGCAGACCAGCCGTCGACAACAATTTCAAACTTGGCCTCTTTGTACAACTTCCCCTGGGCATGCGCAACAATAACTGGACGCATCATGAACTTGATTATAGATATGCACGCCGAGTGAGTCTCTTGTTGCAGCCGTACCCCAAAGAAAACACAACTGGACATGCGAGCTGACTCCATGCATGGTGGCGGTTTTACATGTCGCGTGCACATGCGTTGCGTCTAGTTCGCCAAACACCTCGACGTCAGCTGATAAGAGAGAAGAAATAAGCAGGGGTTATATCGCGGACGACGCCGACGCGTCTAATAGGAACAACCCATTCCGCTGAGCTTGAACATTTACCGAAAGGATAAGTGTCACGCAGGAGTATTGGGGAATTGCACAAGGACGTACTCAACCCGCTCTCTCTACACGTGATGCCAGCTATGAGGCTAGGACTGCTCAACACAAAAGCACACATTGAGGGACCGGCATGTCCATCCAAGTGGAAGACCCCAAGGAATGCGAGGTCTAGTCTGGATGCTCGTGCAACTCCGCTCCGATACAACTCCCGGGTGCTTGCGAAAGTGGCGACGGTTGCTGGGTTGGCAGTCCCCCAGGGAACGCGAGGTCTAGTCTGGGTGCGCGTGCAGCTCCATTCCGCTGGATCGACGGTTGCGCAGCTGGCAGCCCCCCCAACAACGCGAAGTCTAGTCTGGATGCGCGTGCAACTCCACTCCGCTGCAACTTCGCTCTGCTGGACCTCCCAGGGGCCGGCGAAAGCGGCGACGCTTGCGACGGTTGCGCAGTTGGCAGTCTCCCAGGGAATGCGAAATTCGGTCTGGATCCGCTGGACCTCCCAGGAGCCCACGAGAGTGGCGACAGTTGCGCAGTTGGCAGTCCCCCAGGGAGCGCGAGGTCTAGTCTGGATGCGCGTGCAACTCAGCTCCCCTTGACCTCCCAGGAGCACGCGAAAGCGGTGACGGTTGTGCACTTGGCAACACCCAGGCAGCAGCGAAACGGGAAGGATATTGGAGCAGTACTTCAACGAGGGCCCAACTCAAGGGAGGGTTGGGAACAAACACCTAGGGACGCACCCGACCCACCCGAGACGTTGGGCGACACCCAGGGAGGCGACCTTCCCTGGATGCCCGTGGGATCATGTGCCCCTCAGTGGCTCAGAAAGTGGCGACATCTGTACGTTTGTTTGGATCTCCTTGCTGGACCTCCCATGGGGAAGGAAAGTAGCGGCAATTAGAGACGCGCATGGCACCACACACACGGGGGCGGGGTTCCATGTGGACCCGTGTGCGGCACAACCTCGCTGGACCCCTCAAGCACCCTGGGCGCAGGACAGTTCAAGGGCGACATCTAGTTTGGATCTGCGTGCGGCACCACCCTGCTAACCCCCCAGAGGCGCTGAAACCCGACGTCAGTTGCACACTTGGCAGCACCCACAGGGGGCGAGGTCCAGTTTGGATCTGCATAGGGCACGACTGGGCTGATCCCCAAGGGCGCCAGAACACGGCGTCAAATGCACACTTGGCAGCACACACAAGGAACGACGTCTCCCTTGAAAATGCGCGTCGCTTTACTTCGCTGGACCTCCCCAGGCGCAGGGAAGTGCCGACAACGTCCAGTGGCATCGCGCAGTGGGGGCGAGGTCTGAAGTTGGCATGTATCGAACGCAGCTCCACTGGATCCCTCACATGCACGATTGGCAACATGCAGAGAGGAGACATCTAATTGATGTGCGTGGATCACCGCTCTGCTGACCATCCCACTGATGTATGGTTTGCAGGGGGGCGCAGGAACATGGCGACACTTGCACGGTCGGCAGCGCCCAGGGGGGGCGATGTCTAACTGGGAACTGCGTGGGTCACCACTCTACTGGCCTCCTGGCGTGCGGGAAAGTGGCGTTACTTGTACGCTTCGCAACAGACAGGCGTGGCCAGAGCTAGTTTTGATTTTCGAGTCTCGCCACTTCTCTGGACCCCGCGGAGCGCAGGAAAGTGGCGGCAGCTGCACGATTGGCATCGCCCAGGGGGGGCGATGTCTGCGCGGGGGCCTCCTGGGGCGCAGAAGAGTGGCGACATTTGTCACGTCTGGCAACGCGTCAGAACAGCCGACAGGAGCAAGCAAGCACAGGAGAAACGAAGGTAAAAACGGGACAAAAGAACGAGAGGATAACAGAAGCGAGAGGAAGGGGGGAAGGGAGGAGGCGAGAGTGGTGCGGCGAGGAGGACAAGAAATGAAGGACGGGAGGAGGAGCGATTCCTCCCCTCGATTCTGATGGTGCTTCCAACGCCCCGGGCTGCCTCGTCGTTGAACTTTTTCTCCGTCGACCCCGGCGCCCGCTTGACCGTGAGCTCCACCCTGGCGCGACCGTCCAGTTTGGGGAGGTTGGGGAAGTACTTGATCACGTCCTCCATGCAGGGAGGGGAAGACGAAGTTTAAAAAGGGGGAGGATAAACAAGGTGGTCGTAGTTTTGCTGGTTCAACGCAGTCAAGCCCGAAAGAAACTACACCACATACCGATCAATCCGATCGTCATCCGCTTCCGATTGCCGTCGTGGAAAAACACGTGGACAGCATGGCCGCGCCCGAATTTCTCTGTGACAGCCGACTTGGGCTACCTCAGGGCTGCGCAGGTGGAGCACGTTGTCCTCTCGGTGCCCGTGGACTCCCTCTGGATCCTCAAGCTCACCTTGACATGACCACCTCTTGCCCAACACAGGAGATGCACATCACGCACGCGAAGACAAACATGTCTTGTTGTCCGCACCCCTGCGTCCTGGGGGATGGGTGCCACGTAACCGGGCGGAACCATCAGCTCCTCCAGCTCCCCAACAAGGGCCTGGGCCGCCCTGCCGCGCTCGACGACATCGGCGGCTCCCGCGATGTCCTGCCCTTCCCGCCCGTGACAAGCTGCAAGATGAGAACTGATCCCCTCGCTCCGACTCCCGCCATGGCCAGCCACTCCAGTGATGTCTCCCTGATTTGCTTGTGAAAGGAAACGGTGGGAGCGGGGCTCTCAGCCCCCGGCGTTGTTCGGGGTTCCTCGGTTGTTCCTCGGCGCCGCTTGGCAATAGCGGCCCCCTTGCGTTGTTCCCGGCGTTGCTTAGCAATGCCGTAATGCCAAGCAACGCCACGCAATGCCAAGCAACGCCAAGCTATGCACAAATGCCAAGCAATGCACACACAACAAAAAACATCGAATCTGTTGCATGGGGCCACAAACAAATCAAGGTGGCTGGCTGACAAACTCAGGCTGGCGGGGCGGGACCACGAAAATATTTGGATGAACCAACAAACGCGGTCAACTACTAATGCCGCGACCTCACAAGCGGTTGTACGGACAACCGTAAAAGCCAAACGAACAAGTGCAACTGGGGCGGGGATCCTATGGGCGAGACCTGTGTGCAACTGAAATGCCAACGCGCAGGGACAACCAAGACTGCTCCACGGGCAGAACCTTACAAACAAATATGAAAACCAACGCGCAGTCTCGAAAAGACAGCGCGCATGGGCCACCAAGGCCAAGACCCTACAGACGGGACCTGTGGGCAACTACCACGGAGCCCACGAGGGACAACTAAGGCCAGGACCTCATGACCGGAGCCCCAGAAGAAGCTACCACGAGACCAGCTACTCTGGGGCAACCATGGCCAGGTCCATATGGGAGAAACCACGTGGGCAATCTACCACGAGAGCCACCAAACAGGGGCAACAACAACTCGGATCCCATGGATAGGACCACCCACACGGTCAAATACCAGAATACCAAACATACCCAACATACAAAGACGACCAAATCTTGGACCCTATGGGCGAGACCCTAAAGCCACTGATCGGAACGACACTCGATGCCAATTATTTATGGACCGACTCAGAGCACCTTACACTGCAAGTGACCGATTGAGCCAAGCAAAACTCGATAGCAGAAGCCCGTACTAGGGATGCGGACAGTGGCAGCGGTGATGGAGCTTGCAGCAGATGGTCATGATACGGTGCACTGCAGGCGCAGACTGCTTGGACACAATCCTACTGCAATGATCCCTGCCCTCTCCCCGTATGGCCGTGGCACAGGCATGCACACCTGTCTTTGAAGTAGAAACCTGAGAAGGAAGGCGGAGATGGCCTTTGCCGAACCCCAGAAATATCAAAACATTGAAAGAGAGGCCTGGTCCTCCCACCTTCTCCCTGAACAGAATTGGGCTGCGTCCAGGCCCCTGACAGTCCAGGCATCTCCCAACGTATAACCCCTGCCCCTCCCCCTGCACTGGAATGATATGACGCTCCTATACTGTCTGCTTCGGCTTCCGTACCTTTTCGAAAAGTTCCCCCCCTCCGCATCCGGGCCGAAAGCCCTCTACCGGGCAGCTCCAGACTGCCCCCACGAAGGCCCCAAGCAGCAACCCATCCAAAGATACCATCCAAGAGGAGCTCCCTGAGAAGCTGAAATCATAACATCACCTTGAGGTGTCCTTGAACTTTTAGATATTCCTTACAGTCACCATGTTGCGCACCAAGAGTCTCAAGAGGCCCCCATGCGGTCTCCAAGAAGTCGCAATCAGCCCCAAACAGCCAGAAGATGGCCTAAGACTGGCCCTAAGGCGACCTGCAGACGGCCGAGGACCCCTCAAAGACACTCCCAAGACGTCCCAACACCAACCCAAGGCGACCTCACGGCAACTCAAGGACTAAAAAGGGCCGCAACAAGACGGCCATTGGACGCCCACGACGGCAGAAAACGCAACGGTTCCGACAAGAAGCCTCATAGAGGCCTCCCTGAGGTCTCCACTAGCCCCCGACAGGCCCCCATAGAAGGCTCCCGTACGCCCCACTTTGGGCCTAGGGAGAGAAGGAGACGCGTCAAATGTTCCAATACAGTGGGCCCTGGGGAATACAAGTGACACGTGTTACGACCTTATCTGGACTGGGGAGGCGAGTAGTCACGGTCTCCAGGGCCTGGGGCCCGAAAGCAACCATCACATTTGGCGCCCCTCCGTAGCCTGAGGAAGCGAACTGACGCGTGTTACAAAACTGCGGTCGATCCGACAACCCGCTGTGACATAGAACGGGTCTCTCCGGACAGGGGAACCGAACTGCCGCACGCTACAGCTATCTGAAACTCCGGGGGATGAACGTCTATGTGTATACATCTAGATGTATAATATATACATATATACGAGATAGAGAGAGAGGGAAAGAGAACCAGAGCAGAGACAGAGGGAGAGAGGGTCGATATGTATGTATGTGTGTGTATGTATATATTTATGAGTCTGTGTATATATATATGTATATATATATATATGGGCAGTGCTTGAACAGAGGGGTTCTTACGCCTTCCCTAAGGAACTGGGCCAGTGTGGCGGTCCTGCGGCTATGTCGTCACCGCCGCCGCCGCCCCGTCGCCGCCTCGTCGACGCCCGTCGTCTAGGCCTGTGTGGCGGTATGGCGGCTATGTCGTCGCCGTCGCCGCCCCGTTACCGCCCCGTCGCCGCCCGTCGTCTGGGCCTACACGTCGGGTCCGCCGACCTGTGGATTCAGCCGCCGCCCCGTCGCCGTCGCCGCCCCGTCGCCGCGTCGTCGCCGCGCGCGGACTCGTCGTCGCATCGACTTGCCTTGCATTGTTTTGCGTGACTTTGCTTTGATTGCATCACTACGTGTATCACATAGATTGCACCACATAGACGGCACCAATGAGTTTGCACCACATGGTTTGCACCACATGCGTTGTATAACATAGATAGCACCACATGTACTGCACCACTTAGTTTGCACCACATGTGTTGGACCACATATATAGTATCACACCTACTATTGCACCACATATATTGCATCACCTAGGTTGCACCACGCAGATTGCACCACATAGCTTACACCACATATATTGCACCACGTAGAGTGTACCGCATGTGTTCTGTTTTCTTAAAACGGTATCAGGATCTACCTCCCCTCTCCGGACTTGCATGCGCACATCTTGATCGCATTTTCTTTTCGTAGCTGGCTCTGCACACTCATCCATCCTAAATGCGAACGCAAACCATCCCAGAGAGTCCCTGATCGACCCCCTCCCCAGATATCCTCTGAAAAAAACAATGCGCGCGCAAACGTTTATCACAACTCATCAGTTTCCAAGAGCTCCTTGCCCCAAATTGGACGAAGTGCACACGCGCGTGTCGTCGCGCGCGCATGCCGAATGACTTCGGCAACATTAGGTGTCGCACTGAATTCAAAATCGTAATTTGCGAACACATGTAAAACATGGTCTCGATAAATGGACTGTCCAACACAAGAAAAAATGCAAATTCTTCAGGCAGCCATGGGATTTTCACCATTTCATCAAATTCTGCCAAACGCGCCTTTCGCGCGCGCGCGCGTAACGATATCCTTCGAACGCCCTTGCGCGCGTGCTGCCGCAAGAGCCCCTTTCACCAGACAGGGCGAAATACACACGCGCGCGTCGTCGCGCGCGCATGCCGCAATCTTCAAACAACCTTTTCGACCCCGTAAAGGTTTCAAGATCGAGCGTCCCGAAAACACATAACAACATATGGTGTTGCAGCACGCTTTTTTTTACATTTTTGCACGAAGCCCAAATTTTCAATATTTTCATGACATTGGACCAAGCACCCAGGTCAAAATCATTCGAAAGCCCTCGCGCGGGTTCTGGGCGGGGGGGGATCCCTGTCCATGCGGGCCACTCGCGCGCGTTGGCCGCGCGCGCATGTCGAACTCCTTCCTCGCCGCCCGCGCGAGGACACCGTCATCGTCATCGGCGTGATCAGCATCGGCGCTGTCATTGGCCGTGCGGTTGGCATCGTCATCATCGCCACCACCATCGCAACGACCATCATCGTTTCTACCGTTGCCGACGACGTCGCCGTGATACCGCGCCCGCCCAATCCACCGACTCGCTGGGAACTGCCCGCTGGGAAGTGCCCAGCGGTCAGCGCCACCGCAGCCGCGTCGGTCGCGCCAAACTGGCTGGTCGCTGCGCGCGCGAGCATGCGCGGGCAAGC